AGGCGCAGCCCGGAGGTAGGGAGGACTATGTCGCGGAAACAGAGGTGCAAAGGCAGCCAAGTGTTTGTCCTGGCCTTTCCCGGGTGGTTAGCAGATGTGGGTCTTGTTCATGTATTCGGACAATTTGTTCGTCATTTGGACGATTCAACAATCTTGTTTTAACAATCCCGTTTCAGGCCCGGACTTAACCTTGCATGGAATTGATGGGCTGAAGGGGGGGGGGAAACAGTGAAAAAGGAGATTAGATTCGGACGTAAAGTGCGGGCATTCCTGAAATAGGAGGAAAACAACAAAAGGAGAAAAAGAAAAGAAACAACAAATTGCCCCTGACAGCGGTCAGATACGTACTGGAAAGTTCTAGTGTCACTGCGCCGTGCCTTGTTGGTAGGGCTCTACGGCAACAAAAAAAAAAGAAATTGAAAAAGCAGGTTCCAGCAGCAAACGTTATCCCAGGCTTGACCAGCATGAACTGCGCCAGAGCCAACACATGCTCCTCATCTTCTACCTGCACACACACCCACACCCACCCACACACGCACACACACACACACACACACACACATACAAACATCAATCAACTGTGACATTAGTGCTAAAACCACCCAGAGGAACATCACGTAAGTGACATTCCACCACAGGGGCACTCTTCTACCCGCAACCGCACCCACACTCTTCTACCCCCAACCGCACCCACCCACCCACCCACCCACCCACACACACACACACACACCCACACCCACACACAATCAAGTATAGCATTATTGTCAAAAGTTTCTCAAAACCAACCAGACAAACGTCAAGTAAGTGACATTTCACCACAGGGACATGAAGAGGCATGGCTGCAGATAGATGACAAGCGGCCATCGCCGGGGTAAATGCGGAGCTTGAACTCTGTTGATGTGGCCACATCAAGAAGACGAGGAGGTAACGGTATATGAAGGGGATACCAAAGGCACTGGCTTGCTTCCTTTCTTTAATTTTCCGTTTCATTTCCTCATTCCTTTTGCTTTTCAAGTAGGACATTCCCTTACGGGTCCTGGTCCCGTTTCTATGCACAGGAGCTCAAGTATGGTTCCTATTTCCCTGGCAAGTCACACAAGACGAGGCAACCCAGCCCATGTGGCTGGACACACTCAAGAACTGTTGATGAACAGACCTGCGTTCGAATCCTGAGGGTACCTGGGGCATAATAAGACCCATTACAAAACCTCAAAACCTTTTAAGGCCTAGGTTTTGTAGTCTGGTTCCTTTTTTTTTTTTTTTTCCACTGGGGACTCAGCAAGCAGAGTTGAGGCAGAAATGGACGTCAACTTGGCAGAGGATAGGTGAGACAGTGTATGCCTAACGTGTTCGGGTATGAAATATGAAATGGTGTTTGATTCTATCAGCAAAGGTCTTGCCAGTTTGGACCCAAGGGCTGATCAGAGGGATCCCGAGGGGGCTGTGCCTCTACACCTTATGGAATCGAGTGCCGGCATAAGCACTTTCTGCAAGGACATGTGGGCCTCAAGCAAATGTGCTTATGAATGCAATCCACCACTTCAGAAAAGTAGCTAAAACGCTGATACAGATTGTTTTACAGGACTTTCACGAACGCATCTGCAGGTTGTGAGTAAAACATCATTCTTCAGCTAGGGCCTAGCTGAAGAATGCTGCCGTTGTACTCACAACCTGCAGGTTTCACTAACTCATCTGCAGGTTATGTGACCCACCTCACACTGTACTTCGTCTGTTCGTTCTTAGTGATGCTCATTCGTTCAGACTTAGCACTGTTAGCAGTTCTTTTAGGGAACAGGATGGAAGAGGAGGAACATTTCGCACTTCTGCACAGTAGAGGACACACTCTATTTGGTCTGTTCGTTCTTAGTGCCGCTCATTCGTTCAGACTTAGCAGTTCTTTCAGGGAACAGGATGGAAGCGGAGAAACATTTCGCACTTCTGCACAGTACAGGACTCAGTACTTATCGCAGAGAACAGCAGACGAGAGGAGAAGACGAGAGGAGGAGAGAGAAAGGACTTCGAGAGGAGGAGAGGAGAGGAGGAGAGAGAAAGGACTCAGTACTCACCAGCACAACAGACTGGCGTGAGGGGCAGCAGTGGTTGCTGATGCTGGCAGGGCCGAGTTGATTTGAACGTTAAGCACAAGGAGGGGAGATAGGGAGAACAGAGAGGAGGCCGACAGAGCAGATTGGTCGGAAGGAAGAGCAGCGGTCGGGTCCGGTTGCACAATGCACGGGTCTTCAAACAGTAGGAGACGATAGGACGGCTAACGGCAATAGACAGTACATGAATAATTTGGGTGAGGTGTGTGGGAGAGGTGCATCCTCCGATCACACTCCACGTAGGGGCAGGGCCGCTACAGCTCTGTATACAGGGGGGGGCACTGACCGGAAGAAGAACGGAGGTAAACGAAGGTGGTGTGGTGCACACTTGTTCCTACTTTTTATACTTGTCCTTTCCTACACCT